AGCCCCTCTGGGTTCCTTCCCTCCCTCCCATCATGTTCTTGAAAAGGGAACTGGTTGTAAATGTGGGCTCCAGGCTTCCCTCAACCAATTAAACATAAATCAATACAAATTCTCTGGAATTACAGCCCTTGACATTAGTCCTTAATGTGGGACTTCTGGGAAAGCTTCAGGGCAGCAGTTCCAGAACTTGCCCACATCTTTGCCCGGCAAGCCCAGAGCCACTGGTTCTTGCTTTGCTCAATTTCTGCTTTCCATGCTGTTTGGGAAGCAGCAGGAAAATCCACTTTACACCTGCTGAACACCAAGTAAATGCTCCAGAGGCAAGAGCCCAGCACTTCCCAGAAAACTGAGGTCACTGCTGCAATTACATGTCAGAAATGAAGGCAGCAGCAATTACAGCTTTCCCAAAAACTGGTGGGGCCTGAAGTTTCTCTGCTTTGTTTTTTGTTTTTATTTCAAGAAAGCTTCCAAAGAGATGCTTTTTTGCTACATCATCTCTGAAAGGACAAAACCTCCTGCTAAGCCAGAGCCAAGCAATTTAATCCCTGCTCTTTCAGGCTGCCAGGGTGTATCTCCAGGAGGGGGAGGCAGCTGTCAGGCAGATCCCAGCACCACCCACAGTGACAGTTAAAGGGAAACAAGAACTGAACAGCCACACACCTGACCCAGCACTGGCAGAGATCTCCTGATCCCCTTACTGGGCAGCAAACACAAGCTGGGCTGTTTGGTTTGCTTTTGTTTCTATTATAAACAGTTTTAAGCTCAAAAGGAAATCAAGGGTTTAAATATCAACAATTACTTCCTTTGTATAATAATTTTTTTTTCATGGTAAAATATTCTGACTAAAAATAAAATTTGGTGCGCTGAGAAAACTGAAAGCTTAGAAAAAAATATTAAAATCAGGTATTTGGGACTGAATTAAAGATGTGAATTTTGTAACTAATCTGGGAAACAGCCTGTTCTTTTCCTCTCCTTTTCTGGATGGTTTCCAACCAACATTCAGCAAAACAAGGGACTTCCCACCAGTGCCCCAGCCCAGCACAACGTGACTCTCCTCAGAACCTAGGCACCAGCAATAAAGGTCCTGCACCAAAATAATTTACTGCTCTCTGGTCTTAATGACCTTTAATTCAGGACTAATGAGCTCTGGATGAGCATCAAGCAAATTCACTGCAAGGCCAAGGAACAAGACAGTGTCCAGTTTCATCGTCCTCCACAGCCACAACCCCAGTGTGTCTGCAGAGCAAAGAATTCCAGCATTCACAGGGATAACAGCGTGGTGAAAGAGGCCAACTTCTAGCAAATTTTGTGAAAAAAATCCCCAAAGAATCCAAATCCACATCTCTCTTTTAAGATAAATATTCCTTAGTAGATTTCCTACCTTAACCACTAGAAAAAAGAAGTTTTTCCAGAGTGGAATTCAATTTGAAATAATACAAAGCTACTTAATCTGCCTGTGGAATTTACAAGTGCTGAGCAGCTTAGATCAGGCAGGAAAAGGGAGGGATAAGGCCAGGGAACATCCGAGTGGAACAGCAGTGCTGTATTGCAATCCACCAAAACCCGCTGGGTGGCTTTTGGGATTAATTAATTGTAGCAAATTGGCTGCTCCAAGTGCTGGTGTTGGCTCAGCACCCAGAACACAGCCCAAACCCTGCTCATGTCACTGTCAGGAGATCCCTGTGGATTGCAGGGGACAGTGAATGGATCAGAACAGGAGGTTCAGGCTCATCTGAGATAGCACAGGAACCTGCCAGGCCAAGAGCTTGGTTCACCTGTGGCTGATCTGAAACCTCTTGGCCTGGCAAATTTTCTAACCCAGCCTCCCCCCACCTCAGGGCAGAGCTTGCTGTGGGTCTGCTGTTAGTACTGACAGAATCATCCCCAGGAAGACATTTAAAGTCACTGTGCAGGTGCCCCAAGGAGCCAGGAGGGGACGTGTGGGGAGGAGGATGATGATGGGAGGAAGGAGGAGCACAGGAAGCAGTGAAGGTGTGATTACCTGCTCGGGCTAGCATCTCAAACTCGGACACAGTCTCCCGCAGAGGCTGCATACCTTTAGTGGCCGTGTCACTAAACGAGAACTCCTGGCTGTCGTTGTGGGGCAGCTCAGTGCTGCTCACCCGGGATGGCTTGAGGAACACCTTGGGCTCGATATCCAGCTCAAACTGTTGGAAAACCAGAGCAGGGAAAGCCTCATCAGCAGCTATTTACTGTACCTCTCACCTGCCATGCTCTGTCTATGCACACAAAGGCTTACCCCCCCTAAAAAGGACATTTTCTGTGGTTTCCTTTCTGTGTTAAACCATCAGAGCCCAATGTGGGGACTCAGGAGCAACCAAGGAACAAGCTTTGTTTCCAGGAGACCAAGGGATCACACAGAGACTTAATTTCCAACCAAGACTTCTCCCCAGCGTACACATCCTTACCTTGATGGAGCTGTTTTCAAACATATCCACAGACATTTCTTCCTCTTCCTCCTCCTCTTCCTCAGTGGTGGACTCCACCACCATTCCTGGGAATTTCTCCACGCCACAGAACTGCAGGAAGATGGGGGCCCGGCTGGAGTTGCGCTGGATCTCCACCCTCAGGATGCCGTCGCGGGGCCACTTGTCCCGCACGTGCTCCAGGCAGTTGATGGGAGAGCGGGAGAAGGCGATGTGGATGTAGGCCAGGATGAAGAGCACAAAGAGAGCCTAAAGGGCAGGAGACAAGACAGATCCCCCAGTTATCACCAGCTCTTGTCTGCCTGTGAAACACCAGAATAACCTGGGTGAGTGGACAAGAGCTTTGATGCTTGTCTGAATCAATGAGGCAGCAGCCAGACCTTGGCATTCCAGCAGGGAACACACCAAAGGTATCAGGAACCAATTTCTCCTGCTCATGAGAGCTGACAGTGTCAGCCTTCTGAAAGCACCAAAGGCATCAGGAACCAACTGCTCCTGCTCATGAGAAGTGACAGTGACAGCCTTCTGAAAGCTCAGGTCCTGCATCCAACAGTTGTTGTCGCAGACATCTTTTCATGAAAAATCTTTTCTTTAAGATTTTTCTTCTTGAGAAGCTGAGAAGTTTCAAGAACAAAATGTAAACATTGATTATCTGCTGCTGTGGAATGCAACAGGTAGATCTGTAATTAGTCTCATGTGCTTGTTTGTAATTAATGGCCAATCACAGCACAGCAGGCTCAGACAGAGAGAGTCCGAGACAGAGCCTTTGTTATCATTCTTGCTGATTCTATTCTTAGCTAAGCCTTCTGATGAAAGCTTTTCTTCTATTCTTTTAGTATAGTTTTAATGTAATATATATCATAATATAATAAATCAAGCCTTCTGAAACACGGAGTCAGGTCCTCATCTCTTCCCTCACCCAAAGACCCCTGTGAGCACCGTCACAAACAGTGTCCCCCAAACCCACCACAAACAGCACCAGGGTGGGATGAGGAACACTGAAGGAAATGGAAACACGTCCCTGCCTTCCAACCCTTCCCTCCTCAGCACAAAGAGTTTCCTGCTGAAACCTAGAGAAGCCTGCCCAGCTTTGTAAAGGCAGAAAAAAGAAAACTCCAAGCAAAGTAACCCACTCCTGGACAGGATGACCCAAACCCAAATCTGCTGTCCCAAAGAACAGGAGGCTGAGCTGGCCCCCGAGGCCATGCACAGAGCACCACAGCTCCCTGTCCTGCCTCCATGCCAGGAACAGCCATAAACCACAGCAAAGCAGGGTGGAATAAAAAAATATTGTTCCCCGGAGTGAGCAGAGATGTCCAAAGTTCAGAGCTGTGAGCACAGCTGGCACAGCGAGAGGCACTGCTGAGCTCAGAGCCCTTCCCAACCACCCTGCTCTGCTCTGTCCTCATCAGCCCTGCTGTCCTGACCTATTTGTGATGAACAAACAGCCTGGTAAACATCACTCTGCAGAGGAGCTGCACAGGGACATGTGAGGGAAGGCAAAGCACAGCCACCTCCCTGGCTGCAGGAGCCACAGAAGGGCCTGGGGTAATTCCAGGGCTCAGGATGGGAATGTGGGTTCCTGCTGCCCCCTGATCCTGCAGGCTGCTCTCCACAGAGCCCTGAGGAAGTTTTTCCTTCTCTGGGAGGAGCTGGGATCAGAGGGAGAAGCACAACAAACTGCTCCCAGCCACTGTGCCTGACCACTGCACCGTTAGCACCATCCCTGTCCCAGCCGGTTTGCCAGGATGCAGATGGACAAATGGGAGAGATAACAGGGATGTGAAAAACCCAAACATCTCCTGAAAGGGTAGAAAACCGATCTGTGCAGCATGAGACAAGCTGTGCTGAATGTTTTCTTGCTGAAACCTAGAGGAGTGTGCTGCTGTGGACTGGCAAGCTGCTCTCCCCTTCTCCTTTCTCTAATTTCCTACCCTGAAAGCCGTGGAGCAGGAGGACAAGACTCCAGCAAAACAATCCAGTAGGGCATGTGGGAAATGTATCCAAAAAGTGCCATTGCTAGGAAACAGAAAATGAAACCAGCCTGGCTGCCCAGTAAGCTGGCTCAGCAATTTCTTTTTGATTTACAGATCTGGAAGAGCTCCAGAGTGCAGGGAACACCGGGACCACCATGGAGACCGATGTCTCCCTCACAGGAGGGGCCCACGGAGCTGGGACAGCTCAGTGGGCGTGGGCCAAACACGGCCGGCTCGACTTTTGGTGTTTTTGATGAAACTCCTGCCCTCAGCCCGGCCGTGGGCTGGCAGGAGCCGCCCCTCACCTTGAGAAGAACGAAGAACTCGAAGACGCGGCGGAAGGAGGGAGGGAAGAGGCGCGCGTAGGTCACTGCCATCTTGAAGAACAGCGCGTGGAAGAGGCGGTCCCGCACGTTGATCAGGGGGTTCTGGTTGAGGTTGGGGTTGCGGACGCCGCGGTTNGCCCTTGTTGTTGAACCAGACCTGCAGGATGGGGAGGGTCGGACAGCTCGGAGTCCCCCAGCCAAGCTGGCACTGCCCCTGGTTGTGCCTGCAGCTCCCACTCCCACCAGGAGCATCCCCGGTCCCCACTGGGTTCCAGCTCCCCTGCAGCCCCAGCCATGCTCAGTCCCCCTTGAGGGGACATCACTGCTGTCACAGACATCTTTTATGAAAAATCCTTTCCTTAGGATTTTTTCTCCTGAGAAGCTGAGAGGTCTCAGGAACAAAATGTAAACAATGGTTATCTGCTGCTGTGGAATGCAACAGGTGGATCTTTATTAGTCCATGTTAGATGTTTAGAATTAATGGCCAATCGCAGCCCAGCTGGCTTGGACACAGAGCCCAAGCCACAAACCTTTATCATTCTTTGCTATTCTATTCTTAGCCAGCCTCCTGATGAAACCTTTTCTTCTATTCTTTTAGTATAGTTTTAATATAATATATATCATAAAATAATAAATCAAGCCTTTTGAAACATGGAGTCAGATCCTTGTCTCTTCCCTCATCCTTAATGTAATATATCCTTTCTTAATATAATATATACCATAAAATAATAAATCAAGCCTTTTGAAACACGGAGTCACGTCCTCCTCTCTTCCCTCATCCAAGAACCCCTGTGAACACTGTCACCACTGCCACATCCCTGCTGCCCCCAGCTCCCACCCCTCAGGCACACCTTGACGTTCCTGCGTGCATCCAAGCCCTCAATGAAGCGGCTGAGGTTGGCCAGGAGCCGATCCGAGGGGCTGCCCTGGGTGCAGGAACACACACGGGGGTAAGGAGGGGTCTCCCAGCCCTGGGACCCCCAGAGCTGAGCCAGGGGCTGAGTCCTGCTGTACCAGGGTGATGTTGAGCAGCACACGGAGCTCCAGCACCGCCTGATCCACCTCTGCTGCCGATGGCAGGGCCTGGGAGCTGCCAGCACCCAGGGAGAAGCCGCCGTACCTGCAGGAGAAATGGAGCTCCCAAACCTGCCAGAGACACTCCCAGGAGCTTGAGGATCCACGTGGGTCCTCTCCACCCCAGGAAATTCTACAGTTCTATGAAACCTGGCACCCTTGTGGAAACTCAACCCTCTGCTCACCCAGGTGCCAGGTAAGGGACACACAGCAAGGGGCTGAAGGCACCTGGATGATGCCTCTGCCCAGGTGATAGTAAAAGGTTTTAAAATNGTCACCATCCCTAGATGTGTTTAAAAAATCCTGGATGTAGCATTCAGTGCCATGGTCTAGTTGAGGTGTTGGGGCTGGGTTGGACTTGATGAGTTTAAAGGTCTCTTCCAACCTGGTGATTCTGATTCTCAGGGATTCTGGGATCCTGTGATTATGTGATTCTGGGATTCTGTGATTCTGGGATTCTGTGATTCTGATTCTCTGTGATTCTGTGATTCTGGGTTTCTGGGATTCTGATTCCCAGTGATTCTGGGATTCTTATTCCTAGTGATTCTGGGATTTTGTGATTCTGATTCTCAGTGATTCTGGGATTCTGATTCTCTGTGATTCTGGTGTTCTGATTCTCAGTGATTATGGGATTCCGTGATTCTGATTCCCAGTGATTCTGGGGTTCTGATTCTCAGTGATTATGGGATTCTGGGATTCTGATTCCCAGTGATTCTGGGATTCTGATTCTCAGTAATTCTGGGATTCTGGGTTTCTGAGTCCCAGTGATTCTGGGATTCTGGGATTCTGGGCTTGATTCTCAGTGATTCTGGGTTTTCTGATTCACAATAATTCTGGGATTCTGATTCTCAGTGATTCTGGGATTCTGTGATTCTGATTCTCAGTAATTCTGGGATTCTGGGTTTCTGATTCCCAGTGATTCTGGGATTCTGATTCTCAGTGATTCTGGGGTTCTGGGGTTCTGCTCACCCCAGGCGCAGGAAGAAGCGGTGGTACTGCAGCAGGAGGGTGAAGAGGAAGAAGACAATGCCCTCGATGGCCATGGCAAACATGTTCTTCCCTGCCAGCTCCCAGGAGAGGGGGGACACGAAGCGCTTGTCCCCTGCAGGCAGCAAGAGGGGCTGTAAGAACAGGGGACCCAGTGCTGGGCTTTGGGGAGGGGGAGCAGCCCTGACACCCCCAGACTCACCAAACCTCTCAAAGGCATCAGCCATTGCCTGGTTCTTCACCATGTCAATGAGGCCTCGGCCCAAGCAGAAGTGGGGGAAGATGAGGAAAACCTTCTTCAGGACACGGTTGATGTCGTTGAGGTTCTGATGGGGCAGCAAGGAGAGGGGTGGGGAGCTGGCACTGGCACTGCATGGAAGGAATGAGGGGTGCAGAGCATCCCAAGGCTCACCTGGTCCACAAAGAGCTCCAGCACAAAGGTGGCCACGCTGCCGTTGATGCCAATGAAGAGGTTGATGCAGGTCAGGGCCACGTAGGCAGTGCTGGGGATGCTGAAGAGGAAGGAGGCTGGATACATCAGGGGGGTGATGGACCATCTGCAGGGGCACAGCAGGGCCTGGCTGAGGTGCACATCCCAGCCTGGGGGGCTNATTCAGAGGGGTGGGGAGGGTTTACATTCTCCATTTCAGGGGAGGCTCCTGCCTTCCTTAGCAGACTCCTGCCTTTCCAAACCAAGACAACAGGGAGCAGGTCCTACCCTGGGGGTCTCTTCCTCTGGGATGCCACGCAGGCGGCTGTAGAACTCCAGGTGCTCCCGCCCCGTCAGCAGGTCCGTGATGGCATCAAACTGGGGACAGTAACCCATGTGCTGGTGGACAGACTGGAGGTCGGTGAGCACGCTGTGGGATGGGGACAGGTGAGCATGGGATGGGGACAGGTGAGGATGGGACAGGGACAGGTAAGCACGCTGTGGGATGGGGACAGGTGAGTATGGGGCAGGGACAGGTGAGCACACTGTGGGATGGGGACAGGTGAGCATGGGGCAGGGAGAAGTGAGTATGGAGCAGGGAGAGGTGAGTATGGGGCAAGGATAGGTGAGCATGGGACAGGGACAGGTGAGCATGGGACAGGGACAGGTGAGCACACTGTGGGATGGGGACAGGTGAGCACAGGATGGGGACAGGGGAGCATGGGGCAGGGAGAGGTGACCATGCTGTGGGATGGGCACATGTGCCAGGGATCCTGTGGGAATAGGGACAAGCAGCTGCAGGGATGAGGATGAGGATGGAGCAGGCTGCAGGACAAAGGGCCAGGAAGAGCACAGAGGGGACAGAAATGATGGCTGTGGGGACGTGGAGCAGGATCCAAGTCATGGAGTCCCTGCATTCACCCACCTGTGCCCCTTCAACCAGGCCTCCCCCAGCGTCACCTCCGTGTCCCCTGTCAGCATCTTGAAGGTGGATGTTTTCCCAGCACCGTTCACCCCCAGGAGGCCAAAGCACTGTGGGGGCAGAGCAGGCTCACTGGCAGCCCTGGCCCTGCCCACAGACAGAGCTGTCTGTCTGTCCGTCTGTCCCTCACCTCCCCGGGGGGAATGGCCACGCAAAGCCGGTCCACGGCCGGAGCCTTCCTGCGCCGGTACACCTGCATGGAGCAGAGGTGGCACTGGTGCTCCCTCCTGCCACTGCCAGGGGTCCTGGCGGGGCTGGAGCTCACAGCAGGGCCCAGCCCCACCCACCCACCTTGGTCAGGTCCTTCAGAAGCAGGAGGTGGCCGTGTGGGGGGATGTTGCCCACCCTCGCCCGCTCCCTGGCCACATCCTGGTCCTCATCTCCCAGCGAGGGCAGCTCCAGAGCCCGTGGGCTGTGGGGAACAGTGGCAAGGGCACATCCAGGGCTGTCCACGCCCTTGAGCACCCCCAGGGTGCTGTGTCCAGTTTGGTATCCAGTTTAGGAAGGATGTTGAGACACTTGAACATATCCGAAGGAAGGCAACAAGGCTGGTGAGGGGCTTGGAGCATAAACCCTATAAGGAATGACTGAAGGAGCTGGGGATGTTTAGCCTGGAGAAAAGGAGACTCAGGGGTGCCCTCATCACTGTCTACAGCTCCTGAAAGGTGGCTCAGCTCAGGTGGAGCTGGGCTCTTTCTCCAGGCAGCACTGACACAACCAGAGCTCACAGCCTCAAGCTGCGCCAAGGAAAACTTAGGTGGGATATCAGGAAAAAGTTTTCATGTAAAGAGTGATAAAGTACTGGAATCATCTGCCTGGGGAGGTGGTGGTCACCATCCCTAGATGTGTTTAAAAAATCCTGGATGTAGCATTCAGTGCCATGGTCTAGTTGAGGTGTTGGGGCTGGGTTGGACTTGATGAGTTTAAAGGTCTCTTCCAACCTGGTNAACCTGCGGGGAGAGGGGACACTCTGTGAGCGCTGCCATGGCCACCACCCTCTGGAGACCCCCTTGCCCCCCACTCAGTACCTGTTTTTGAGGTGCTGGACGCTGCCCAGGCAGCGGAAGCGGCCGTTGACCATGATGGCCATCCTGGTGCAGAGCGCCTCGCACTCCTCCATGCTGGGGGGACACGTGTGAGCCCCCCAGGGCAGAGGGACACTCTGCTAGCCCATAGGGGGGTTGTGGGGTGTAGCAGACTCCATGGAGGGCTGAGACTTAACAGTAGGAACTGCTGAGACAGCAAAATAAGCTCCTGCCTTCTGACTCGCTTATCTCTGTAACTCCACTGGTCACTTTTTCCCTAACCTTTACTATTGGACAAGTTTAGATATCCCTATACTTTATACAAAGGGGCTGTTTTAGCCCATTTTTTGGCAGAAGAGCTGTTGCTGGAACCCTTCACAGACCCCTGAATAAACCATCACTGTGGAACTGCCAGGATGCTCTTTCTCCTCTCTCACTGTCTGTCTCTGCCCCTAGCCCTATGGGGTTATCAGCTCTCTTAGGATTTCAGCAAGCACGAGCTGAAATCCTAAGAGAGCTGATGATCACTAATGAGCTGGAAATCACTTAGCTTGCCAAAGGTAGTAGTTACAGCTTGTAGGTATTCGCACTCTATCTCCCAGAGGGACTGAGTTATCTGGATAAGGACTGCTTTGCTCGGGGTTAAGCCAAATCTGAGGGCTGCGGGGGCTTGGGGGAGACCAACACCCCCCCTGCCTTAACAACGGGGTGCTCCCCTTTATGGGGACTCACTCACCTGTGGGATGTGAGCACCACGGACCGTCCGTCCCGGATCACACCAAGGATTCGCTCCCACAGGAACCTCCGGGCTTGCGGGTCCATCCCCGTCGTGGGCTCATCCTGCAACGGGCCCAGGGTCAGTTGGTGCCCCCTAAGCCAAGCAGCTGCTTCTGCCTTTGTCTTATTCTCCACCATAACCAACACATGGCAGTGAGACATCACCCAACTTACCCACCCAGCGTCCTGCCTGATCCTCACCTCAGCAATCACAATAAAACCAGGACAGTGACATTCCACTTCTGATTCCCACAGGCACTCCAAGGCTCTCCTCTCACCACTGGCCTCCTGCTATCCACTATCATAAAACTCCCCCCAGTCACACTATACATAACCTTGCCCTCACTAAATCCTACACTCCTAACTATCTTAGCTATCCTCTCAGCAGCCCTAGGAGGATAAATGGGTCTTAACCAAACACAAATAAAAAAAATCCTGGCCTTCTCTTCCATCTCTCACCTAGGCTGAATAGCAATCATCATCATCTACAACCCTAAACTCACCCTCCTCAATTTCTACCTGCATGCTGTAATAACTGCAACCATCTTCCTCACCCTAAACACAAAGTCTTAAAACTACCTACCCTAATGACTGCATGAACCAAAATTCCATCCTTAAATGCAGTGCTGCTCCTAACCCTGCTCTCCCTTGCAGGGCTCCCTCCCCTGACAGGATTCCTGCCCAAATGACTTATTATCCGGGAACTAACTAAGCAGGACATGCTGTGGGGCCTCCCAGTGCCCCCCTCACCAGGAAAACAACAGGGGGACAGCCGAGGAGGGCGATGGCCGTGGAGAGTTTGCGTTTGTTGCCCCCGCTGTATTTGCCCGCCGGCCGGTCGGCGTGTGGGGCCAGCCCCAGAGCGGTGATGCCCCACTGAGCCACCTGTGAGAGACAGAGGGGTGAGCCTGGGNGCACATATACTAAAATTGGAACGATACAGAGAAGATTAGCATGGCCCCTGCGCAAGGATGACACGCAAATTCGTGAAGCGTTCCATATTTTTTCCCAGGTACGGTCTCGAAGCCGTTTCCCTGGTATCACCTTTTTGTCCCCCAGAGAGCGGCGCGGGGCATTCCAGCCCCCCATGAAGTCGGGGGAGCCCCCCAGGCGCGGCCCTGGCACAGTCGAGCATCAACCCTCTGTCCAACTGACAGGAGAGGACACGGTCTTAAGCTGTGCCAAGGGAAATTTAGGTTGGGTGTTAGGAAAAGTTTTTTATGGACGCCATGCTGCCCGTGTCTTGCTGTGCCCCCACTCTGTCCCCCAGCGAGGGCAATGGAGTCCCCCGGCAGTACCGCGGGTTTTTATTGAATTGCTCGGTTACAGCAAGTGGGGTCCCAAGGCCAGCCCCAGACCCCCCATCCAGCTCAGCCCCGCGCAGGGCATCAACCCCACCGCGGGGAGCCGGGGCCAGCTCTGTCCTGGCACTCTGACCCAGCACCCACTGTCCTGTCGGATGGTGACACCGTGCCAGTGGGCAGGATGTGCCCAGGCCTCTTCTGCGCAGCTCTGGGGGGCTGCAGTACTCCAAAGCCCTGTGATCCTGGCTTGTGCTGTGGTGACATCCAAGGAGGGTCCATGGGACACCATGGCCCACTCAGACAGCGCTTTCCTGGTAGCTGTCATCCTCCAGGAACCTGCTCAGCCTCCTCCCAGGACTGGTGGCCACATCCTGTCCTGAGGCTGTCACCTCCCCGGCGTCCCCATCGCTCTGCTCCTGGGCAAAGTGCATGAAGACCTGCAGGAAGGGCAGAATGAGAGATGGCACCACGGGACAGGGCCACCACACCCTCACACCGCCTCCCCTGTACCTGGTCCAGCGTGGTCTGGGACACTGAGTAGTCCTCTATGTGGCAGGGGCCACGGTGGGCGGCCAGAAGGCTGAAGACAGCGGCCAGGGAGGTGACACGGGCAGGGAGGTGGTACTGCAGCAGCC